TGCTGAAGGAAAGAAAAATAGTAAAAATGTATTTCAAAGTTAATTAAATATAACTTAAAATCAAACTGGTGCTTATTTTATATGTAATAACTAATATTTATTTTAAGCATGGCAATTGTTCATGATAACAGAAATTATACATGTATTTATATATGAACTGTAAGGTATCATTTTTCTAGTGAATCTTTCAAAATATTGCCTTACTTGTGGCATCGATCTTGCATTGCTTTGATTTCTTGCATGACTGGTAGCTCCTCCTGAGATGGAGACTTTAATTCCACATCCTGAAGCATGCTGACAGCATGCTGTTTGAGCAAGCCCAAAGATGATAGCTGGTGGTCTACCTCCAGAAGGAAACTGCTGTGGTAATCCAGGAGTTCCAGGAGCTCTGTCTTGGATGCCTTTTCCACCGAGCTTTCTGGCAAGCGGCCTTGCAGCTGATCTATTGCTATGGTGGCTTTCTGAATCTATGGAAAAGGATGCAGTCTTGGAAATAATGAAATTAAAAGGCAACTAGTACAGCTGATACAAAAAGGTACTAAGCCCAGTGCTGTACATTTACATTTAGGTACTAAGTCCAGTGCTGTGTCATAGGGCTTGTGCAGTAGTCTCTGTAGGAGATATAAATCAATGCCCTAATGTGCTAGATCTAGCTAGCTAGCCCTAGCTCTTCAGAGTGGACTAGGACTTGTTAAGGGACTTTCCTCTCATGTGATGAGTGGATCCTCATTTTTTTTTTTAAGCATTTATTATCTTTATTATCTTAGGACCTAGAGCTCTACTCCAGGACAGAACTTATTTCACACATGTAAGTCATACATTTCACAAAAAGATTATCCCCATTTCCAGATAATCGGTCATCTGAGCATGAAGTAATGGAAAACAACAAGTAATAAAGTCATCTAAAGGAGATGAAGGGGGAAAAAAAAAAAAGAGGTAAATGATTGGTGAGGAATTACAGGCAATAATATCACTGCATAAACCTAAAATAGCAACTTCATACTCCTCAGGGCAAGGAAGAGGGGAAGGAAAAAGAGAGGCTGACAATCTAGAATAGACCATTTTGGGAAGGAAAACAGAGGAGAAGATTCTGAAGAACACCAGAAAGCCAAACAACTCTGTATTTACTGTACATAAGTGTATATAGAAGAACAGTGCAAACCTTGGAGGCAGCAGTTCTAAACCCTGGTCTTCCTTATTTTTTTGTTTGTTTGTTTGTTTGTTTTGGGTTTTGGTTTGTTTGGGGTTTTTTTCCCCCCTTTTTTTTCTTTTAAATGACCTGAGAAAAATCACTCTTATTCCTGCTACCAGCTTTCTCTACCCTAAGATGATTAATACAGCAGTATGATGAGTGAGAACTTATGTACAGTTAAAGGAGGATTTACCCAGACCAGAAGTTACCTTATCATTTAAGCCTTCCCATTCCTGCACTGACTCTTCCAAAATTTTCTCTTGTTCTTGAGCTACATTCCGGAGTCGTGTCCAGCGCTGCCAAACTGTTGTCATGGATCTACTTATAGTTGCCTTACTGGCATCATTGCTAACTTTTTCCAGTTGTGCAGTCTTTTCTTCTAGGGCTGTGATCTTCTCATGGAAAGAATTCACTACAGCCACAAGAGTCTGAAAAAAAAGAAAAAACAAAAGGTACTGTTTTTCTCTTTTGCAGCACAACTCCTAACTATTCAACACATTTGCAGGAAGGTATTCCATGCCTAGTGAAGTGGTCAGGTATCATATGCAATATATTAGCTACAACTACTTGAAGGCCTTGGTCCAAAAAGACAACTCTCCGGAAGCAGTAGAAATCTGGTATAACCAGATTTTCTCTTGCTTGCTAGCCTCTCAAAAGTGACGGAAATGAGTATCCAAGACCCTTCTCATCACAAAGACTGACTTATCACATTCCAAAAATGAAAGAAACAATTCAAGTGTTTAAGCATACATTTATGTTTTTCTTTAATGTCATTTTGATGTCCAAGGGTATCAAGATATTCTCATGAAGTTGGCAGACATGTTGTTACTTTCAGGGGAGATTTCTGCCTACACAGAGACACAGCTAGATATCAGGCTGGATGTCTGAAGTGTCACAAATTGCCTATATTAAGACCACAGACTAATGCCCTAAATACTAGAGGAGAAATTATTTTAAGTTATATTTATTTCATTTAGGCAACACAAGAGTTAATACTAAATCTCAACTCTTTCTGTCCTGGTAAAACTATTCCACATTATCCAAAGTAGATGGATACTTCTATTGATCTAAATTTTTTATAGGGTATACAGTTTGGGGGCTCATGCACCCAAGACTTTTAGGAACCTCTTGATTCTTTCCAGTTCTCTATAGTCAGACCCACATAGAATTGAAGCTGAAAAGAGATTTAAAAGTATCTGTCTCAGTCACTCTTGGTGGGCTATGACACAGTTAAGTGTTACAAGAAAAGATCTAAAAACTCAAATTCAGGTTGCCACTGGTCAGGACTTATAACACACTCATATTAAACCCTTTTCCTTTGGTGAAGATAGATTTTAGTACCTTACCTTATGTGTTAGCAATTTCTCTTCTGCTTCGTGAGAAGAAGCAGCTTTAGCTACTGAGAATTCAGATAATTTTTTCTCAGCCTCATTCATCACTTCAATAACCTTCTGTCTTGCTGTCTGGTACTCCTGCCACTCAGAAGCACACCTTAAACACAGTTTCAGAAAGAACAATTTAATTCAGCGTAAAACCATTTGATATATCAGAAATACTATTGCAACTAATTTTCAATATAGCTGCTTAGTTTTGCTGTTACACAGTATTTTCCAAGGAAAAGAAAGATTATTGAAAAAGAGCTTACATAGAAGCATATACTCATGATTTTCAGTGGTGCCTTATAGGCACAGCTTGACATTTAATAGCCCTTGTTTGACTTTTCCTCAGTGACTTTGCCTAGGTTGTTTTAAACCCACCCAAACTTCTGAAATCTAGAACATTCAGGAACATTAAGTAACGTAGTTACACTAGTTAAAAAGGTATTTCCTTTTACTCCAAAATGTCTGCTTCAATTTCATGTGTTTCTGTATAGGTCCTGTGCCAGGTGAAATAAGGGACAGTTGTTCCCTTTCTCTTCTTCTTGGTGCTGTTCCAAGCTGTATATAATTCTATCATAGCTTCCTCAAGATCGAGTCAGTAGTCAGGCAGTGGCAGAGGAGGAAAGAGAATCCAAGAGCCCCAAATCCCATTATCCACTCATCTTATCAGTAGCACAAACATTTTAACAAAACTCCAATTAACATTACGATATCTTTCTTTCATTACCAATCAGCAAGGTGATCTTAAAATTAAAGGAAAAAAAAAAAAACTACCTTTGCAGCTGCTCTTGCTGGGTTTTGGCCTCTTGCTTTGTTCTTTCGGCCTTTTCCTCCAATGCAGCTACACTCTGCATCAACTGCTCTCTTGCTGTGGCTTCCATAAAGGGATCTATCTCAGACACAAGGCCCTGTAACTCTTTCAAATGATTACTGAACAGACTTTCTGTGCTGAAAAATTCAGTGTGATGCCTTAGGTTCTCCTCAGAGTTCTCGACATCAAGACCATTTCTTGCTAAATGTAGAAATTCCTGAGCATCTTCAAGCCAGTCATTTGCTATCTGCATCACTTGGTAGTATCTTTGGCAGAGGCTATATAATTTATTCAAGGTAGCCTAAAATAAAAAGGCAAATTATACAGTGGCTCAAAGATGTAAAATCAACAGCAGCAACACCAATATAATCTTCTCAGAGTCTGGATTTTACTTATGTTTGCTTTCTTTTCCCTTTACTATTATCTAAAATACAGGCCTGGAGAGACTACATGGAAGTAGGTTTTGAGGGAGTTTGCACTTCTACATGTGGGGTATACATCCATATTAAGGAAGCCTTTTCCTCTTCCCCTCTGCCCAACTCCCCCACCAAGTCATCCATGACAACAGGCTACAACCTAAGTCCTTAAAAAACCCCAAACAGTAGGATTATTAAAATCAATTTTTTAATGATGATTATGAACATTAAGTCAAAAAACCCATCTTTTTCAACTTTACGAGCAAGACAAAAATAGCACTCAAGAGTGCACTAACCTGTCTCATGTGTATAGCTTCTTGTACTTCCCCATCTAGTTCTGTCAGCTCAGCAAGAGTATTTTCCAGGTCAGCAGGTATCAGCTCCTTTGCTTTCATATACCTCTCTTTCTCTTTACTGCTCAGCGCATTCATTATTCTCAGGCTTGACTGTACTTCTTCTTGATGTATCTGAACCTTTCGGATTTCTTCTTGGATACTTTGCAGTTTGAGGTCCAAACTTAACATTCCATTAAGTTCTGTTTTCACCCATCTTAACCAGTCAAGTGAACGGCAGATTTCTGTCTGGAAGTCTATGCTTTGTACCAGTCTGTTTTCACACTCCATTACGGTGTCACCAATGGCAGCATGCAAAGATTTTAATTTCTCTTGCCAAGACTGCACTTGTTGATTTCTTGTCTTACATGCAGATGAGTCAAGCTGAGGAGAAAAGCCTTCTAGATGTTCAGTTATTCGCTTCAGAAGACTCTCTGAGTCCTGCAAGCTGCCCACCAGAGAATGGTACATTTTCAACTTTTCTTCTATTGGGAGTGTTTCTTCATTTACCTTAATTTGCTCCTTCTTCACCGCCTCTAGTTGTGCCTCCAGCTGCATACACATTTTCTCATGCTCCTGACACGCTTCAATTGTGTCTTCCAACAGGTTGATTTTCTGTTCTATTTGCCTCTTCAACTTGTGATATAGCGTGACAAGTTTTAACATCTCATCTGATTGCCATGGCTGGCCAGTGCTTCGAAAGGCCTCCTTCTTCTGGTTTAGTTCATCCACTGCTGCACTAAGGCTCACCACTTCACCTAAGACATCTTTGTAGGCCTGCTGAAGTGATACAGCTTCTTTGGCTAAAACAGCAGCTGGAGCTTTGTCCAGGTTAATAAACTGATCTTCTAGCTCAGTCAGAGCTTTACTTGTCAACTCAATCAAAGAGGCATACTCTTTCCTGGCAAAAATTGCTTCCTGAACCTTATATAATTTTTCTTTTGCCAGAGCAGTGACAACATTGAATTGCTGAGGGAGAATATTAAGTTTTTCATCCAGATAAGAATGATCCACTTCATTAAGAGATGGTAGGATTTCTTGGCCATCTCTTTGCAGTGCAAGTAACAGATTTTCATATTCTGGGGATTGCTCAAGGATCTGCTGATATTTTGCCAACTGACTGTATAGTTCAGAGTTCGAATTCATTACATTGACTTCTGGGAAAGTGACAATATCAGCTTGTTTTAGCCAATGGCAAGCTTTATCCAAGTCTTCTTTGAAATATTTCCTGGAAACTATATTTTTCTCCAATTCTAACAATCTCTGGTTACACTTTTGTAAAACAGTGTCATATACATTCTGTAGTTCTTGCAGTTTACCCAGCACTTCACTCTTTTCTTGTTCAGGTGCTTCTTTCATTAAATCCCTTCCTTGAGCCCACAACCCCGTGAGATCATTCTGATAGGCCTTCAGGTTAGCCTGGGCATTCTTACAAGTCCTAATCTGTTTGTTCACATCTTCTGGCAACAGACAAATGTGTTCTGGAAAAGTTATCTTCTTCTCATGTTGGTGAATTTGGTTTGTAGCCTGAAAGACTGCCATGAGAAACTGAGTCTTTTCAGACATTGCTTTATTGAGGTGCTTTCTCCTCTGGCCAACCAGATCACTGAGACAATCTACATGGTGCTGTGCATCAGAAAGGGCTTTCTGCAGCTCCTGCCTTTCATTGAGCCCTAGGTTGGTCATCACTCTGTCAGCATCCTTCACAAGCGTCTTCAGAACATGCTGTTTGGCTTCAAGCTCACTGCAAACGGTAAGGTGATCAGTGAGAAGACTCTGAGCCAAATCTGGAGGAGGGCTCTGTTTAAGAGCCTCTGAGATACTGGGTTGCTGCTCCTCTGCCCATTCCATTAGTTCCTGAAATTTTGAATGCACCAAACTGAGCTCTTCTAAGGTTGAAACAGAAACTTGAATTTTCCTTTTGACAAGGTCCTCCAGCTGAGTCCAGCGTTGCTCAAAATGACTGAATTGCTCCTTCACTAATTCTCTGTCATCAAGATTCAGATGTTCTATAATCTTCTGTTTCTGATCTTTCAAATCTTCCAGAGCAAATCTCCTTTCCTGTAGTGCCAGTGCTAAATTTTGCAAAGCTTCAAGGTGCACATTTGTACTTTCAGCATCAGATCTGTTAGCAAAGTGGGCAGGACAGAAATGAATAATTAGATCCTATCTTAGGACAGACTTTTAAAAAGGGGTCAGGATGAATTGTAAGCTCCCTATATACTGAAATTGATATGATACAAACAGCTACAGTTTTCAGATTCTTTTGAAAGTAGCTATCTTGAATATTAATTAAGAAGTGTAACTTTTTTATCCCTTTCACCTGCAATATGTCACCAGGCTGACTACACAAATTAATATGAATACTACAGAGTATACTGATTATACTGCATGAGTACTAAGGTTGAAGTGAATCTTGTTCCATGAGTTATAGCAGCAGTAATAGACTGTCAAAATTTTACACACAGATGGTGTGTTTACCATATAAAACAGCTCAAATAATTTAGCAGCAGCAACTAATATTCAATAGAATAGTCTAATAGCTAAAATACAACATCATAATGAAAAATACGCATGAAACAGTAAACAAAAATGAAAGAGTTCAAACAAAATGGTCAAAATTCTTCAAATATCAGAAAATGCTATGCTCGAGATGGGATCAGTCAGTACTTGCCTTAAAGACAAACACTGAAGATCTGTCTTCTCAAACTCTTTATTTCAATACAAATAACTGTCCTATAATTAATAAGGGAGGTTTGCTTTTACTTAAGCATGGAAAAATGAATTTTTAGTGGATCCAACTCAAAGACACTGTGTAAACAGGTCTTTCAGAGTACGTGCACTAAGTCAGCTTTGTTTGTGCTAATCCTTTTTTACCTAGCCAGGTTGTCCCACTCTTTTGTGAGCTTTTCCAAGAAAACTTCAACTACATTCATGCGATCATGGTAATCCCTTGTCCTCTGCAGATCCTCCTCCCTCTGTATGAGCAAACTGTGTGCCTGAAGGCAGAGGTCCAGCCACTGATTGCTCAGTTCTCCTATTTCTTTGTGTTCAGGTGATTCTTGTCCTTGGGTCAGTTTGTTCATCTTCTCAGTCACAGAAGTAAGAGCCGACTGCTTAGACTGTAGCTTCTGATTGAATTCCTGAAAAAGATGCAAGACAATATGGTGACACCTACTCAAAACTGTGAGATGGAATTTTAATAAAACCTCTGAAATAAATAAATTGTGTAAAGACTAATAATCTGCCCAGGAAAATGCTGTCAAGATATAAATTGAAAGAAATGCTTCCTCCCCTCCCCTAATCTTCCTCCCTCACCTTCTCATGTGAGGACAAGTTGGTTATAGTTGTGAAAGCAAACCAGAGCAGTTTCCAAGTGTCAGTGATAAACAAAAAGCACAAGCAAGTCACACTTTGTTGTCCAGGCTTCTGGACTAGCACAGCTCCAACCATACACTAAAAGATGCAAGATAGTCTGGATCTCATGAGAATTAATTTTACCAGTACTTTTTCTAGCTCAGTTTTTTCCCCCTTTTACTTTTTCATTAGAGACTAGAAATAGGAAGCAGAGTCTGCACTGTTTCTAGCTCATTTTTTTCCTTTTGCTTTCTCATTAGAGACTAAAATTAGGAATCAGATTCCATGAGACAGTGAGCCTCCAAATTCTTACTTTATTTTGTTTCTACTTCTATAACAGTGACCATTACCACTGCCATTATTGAAACAAAGCCAACGATTATCTAGGTACGACTGCTATTTGAGTTAATAAACACCAGTAAATGAAAGAGTCCATCAGCATACACATTTCTTACTGCGTAATAAACCACAGAGAAACCGAATAAAGAATATACAATATACTGTCAATTAAAACTAACCACATATTTTTCAGCACTTACATGCAGTCTAGAGTAAATATAGTATTTTTCCCCAATTTCTATTTCCAGTAACTGTAACTAAACAACCATGTCAAGCTCCAGCACTTTGCTGGGTTGATGTGTTTTCACTAAGGGCTGATAGGCATTCTGAAGAAGAGATGTTACTGCCTAGCTCTTCCTCATTTCATTTTGTGACTGCTTCAAATGGACCTAGGGATCTTCCTTTACAAGGGCAAATTTGAAATTTTTCCTTGAGGAAAAAGTACACATTGTGCCACATCTGGGAGTAGAGCAGGTACCTGCCTTTCCTAATAATCCAAAGTTCCTGACTGACATAGTGGAGAAATACACACTTCTGCTTCTTTATGGAATCTAATGATAGATAGTCTAACATCTTTCAGACTACATTGTGCTGAGGTATCATCACTGTAGTCCTGTGCTGTGATTGTTCAAACACTTGTGCAGAACAAATATAAAGAGGAAGTGCTGTTTACTTTTCACCTAACTCCTGGCATATCAGGAAAGGAACACAAGCAAAGGCTAGACCAAAAATGTAAAATTCAAGCTTTTCATCATTTAATAAAGAAATAATCTGTTTTTCTGTTTCTCCTTGTTACTTTACGGATATTTGTGATACACGCAGAATGAGCATAAAACCTCTCTTCTGTAACGAATGAGTGAAGATCTGAGGACATTTGTCTCATTACTTAGGCTAAATTAAGTTGGGTTTCTATGCTACCTATTCTCTAGCAGTTTACAGAGTCCAGCAACATTGAGTATTTTCCTAGATTAATTTTGAAATAGGTCTAAATAATTCAGAAGTATTGAAATCAAAGAACTTAGCAAGCAAAAGCTGCAGATCTTATCTTCAGTTCCACTGTGATCAGCAATTAGCCTATTAAAATCAAAGGTAAGTGAAAACAGTAGGCAGAAAACTGTCTACTGTTAAAAAAACAAAGCTGAAAAAATCCTAAAGTACAGTGTTTTGCTTTCTGTGTCATCCTGTAGCATCAATAAGGACCTCTGTCATTTCTGCTCTTGGTTAGAAAATGTTATCAATTGTATGCAATATGCACATAACATGAATTCTAGTAATATCAGCCACAGAATGAACTTCTTCCTTACCTTCTGTTCATAACTGAAAGTCTTCTTACCTTAACCTGGAGTACCATTTTCTGGGCAATGTTTAGCTCTAACTCTGCTCGTCTCCTTTTCAAATTCTGTACTTGTTGATCTGCATCCTGGAAATATATCCATAGCTCAGCCTTCATTTGTTTGATCTCTTCCCAACCTTGAGCCAAAAACTGTGAGTGCATTATCTGTTGCTCAATCTAGAAGAAAAGAAATGGAGTAGGAATATATTAATGTATCTATTTTAGGAGAAAGGAGAATGAATACCACTCTTCATCTGAGCACAATACTGCACTAAATCAAATTTCTGCACTAGATTCTGAAGGAGCTAATATTTCCCACAAAAAAGAGCCTTAATCTTCAGAAGTCATAAAATCAGACCTATCAAAGGAAAGCTGTGGGGGAAAAAAAAAAAATTATAATTCACTCTTGATAGAAGCAAGTATATTTATGAGTGTGTGTATTTCAAAGTGTTCTCAGTCTTCTGTTTAGGCTTAAATTAATTGTATAATTTAATTTATTGCATGCCAAGAATATTGCTGAACAGTACCATACATGCCTTCACAATGATCGAACAAAAACTTAAACTAAGCACTTTCATTTAGTTTACTTAACTCAGTTATTTTGCCTATATGCTGTTTGTAAAATGCCAATAAGAGGAATGCTTACTGGATCTGAGCTCATCAATCACATTAAACCAACAGTCACACAGCTTCTGTTGATCCAAATACAGCAGTAGATTGTCTCTAGACACTCAACCAGCTTAATATATCTCAGCACTGGTGTCACAGCCAGGGCTTCAGCTACTTAGCCTACAGAGAAACCAGTCTCCTGGGGGCTGGCAGGGTCCATCTCTCAGAGAAGGGGGAGAGCATCTTTGGTTATAAGCTTGCCAATTTAGTAAAGGGGGTTTTAAACTAGTGTTACCAGGGAAGGGGCAACTCAATCCATCCCACTTCGAGGCCAATGCCAGTACCGGATAGGACCAGTAAGGAACATAAACCTCATTTTCAAAAAGGGAAAAAAGGAAGACACAGGCAAGTGCAGGCCAGGCAGTCTCACCTCTGTCCCTGGCAAAATCATGGAACATACCCTCCTGAAGGCTCTGCTAAGATACATGGAAAATGAGGAGGTGATTGCTGGCAACCGGCATGAATTCGCTAAGGGCAAACCATGTCTGGCAAATTTAGTAGCCTTTTACAATGGAATTACAGCATTAGTGGATAAGAGAAGAGCAACATGTTGTCTACCTGGACTTGTGCAAAGCGTTTGACACTGTCCCAAAAGACATCCTGGTCCCTAAATTTGAGACACATGGATTTGATGGATGGACCACTTGGTGGATAAGGAACTGACTGGATGATTGCACTCAAATAGTTGGCTCAATGTCCAAATGGAAGCCAGCGACAAGTGGTGCTCTTCAGGGAGTTGTTTAACATCTTTGTCAGTGACATGGACAGTGGAATTAAGTGCACCCTCAACAAGTTTGCAGACAACATCAAGCTATGAGGTGTGGTTGACACACTGTAAGGACAGGATGCTATCCTGTGGGACCTTGACAAGCTCGAGAGGTGGGCCCATGACAACTTCATGAAGTTCAATAGGGCCAAGTGCAAGGTCCTGCACCTAGGTCAGGGCAATCCCAAGCACAAATACAAGCTGGATGGAGAAAGGATCAAGAGCAGCCTTGAGGAGAAAGACTTGGGAGTGCTGGTTGTTGGCTCGCATAGAGTTTTTCACCAATGTGCGAGTGCAGCCTAGAAAGCAAACCATATCCTGGGCTGCAACAAAAAAAAGCATGACCAGCAGGTTAATGGAGGTGATTCTTCCCCTATACTCTGCTTCTGTGAGACCCCATCTGGAGTACTGCATCCAACTGTGGAGCCCCCAATATTAGAAGGACATGGACACATTGGAGTGGGTCCAGAGGAGGACCATGAAGATGATCAGTGGGCTGGAACGCCTTTCCTACAAGGACAGGCTGAGAGAGTTGGGGTTGTTCAGCCTGCAGAGAAGGCTCTGGGGAGATGTTATTGTGGCCTCCCAGTATCTGAAGGGGTCCCCAAAGAAACCTTGGGAGGAACTTTTTAAAAGGGCTTGTAATAACAGGACAAGATATAATGGGTTCAAACTGGAAAAGGGAAGATTTAGATTAGATGTGAGGAAGAAGTTCTTCACTATGAGGGTGGTGAGACACGAGTAAGTTGCCCAGGGAATTTGTGCATGTTCTATCACTGGATATGTTCAAGACAAGATGATCTTTATGGTCCCTTCCAACCCAAACTATTCTAAGCTTCTATGATTCACTGTACCATTTGTGTTTTCTTAAAAATCTTTCACTGCTTTTTATATAAAAGAAATTTATTCTGATATTTGGGATGCTTTTTAGCTATTTAATAATTTGACTGGCTTTTTTTTTTAGGGATTACTTGGATTTGTACAATTTGATTCTCTGGTATGGAAGTCTGTTAATGTATATATTATATTATTACTCTCAGTGGAAGTAGTTTCAAAAATTTGGTTGTGTCTGAACATGAAACTAAATTTTTCATGTTCACAACAGCAGGAATAATGCTCACAATTTTTTTTTTTTTTTCCTAAAGCCAAGCATTAAATTACTTTAAAGCTTAAAACTGAAGTAAATTTCTATAAGTTCATGTGCTGACATAGATTCACTCTGATTTATTAATTTTATCATATTTTTCTCACAATTATTATAAGTAATATATTAGTATACCCTAGTAAGAAGATTAGTTTACTGTTGAATAAATAATCACAGCAAAATATGTCTCAGATTTCATAAAGTACAGAGAAGAACAGATTTGTGCTTATGAAAACAAACAGTTTGGATCGAGTTTTCGTCCACAGAATATTTGTGTGGCTTTAGACCAACATCTTTTAACACTAAGTACCTGTCAGTAACCTCTGTCTACAAGGATAGCAATGGATTTAAATTGTATGGATTTAATTTAAAAAAAAAAAAAAACCACAAAAAAAATTAAAACAGAAAAACCATTTCCAAAATAAATACTTAAGATGGAAGTAAGAAGGCATTTCTTTAAACCATTACCCAATATGACCTTTTTAAAAGAGGATAGATCAAGGCAGATAAAGCTCTCAATAGGATTAAAAGCAGGTTGATGTGGTTATCTTGTACCGTTTGTTTGGTCTGTTGAATATCTGTTGCTGTACTCTTCACTGTGGCATCTGACAGATCACACATGGAGCACAGAAGATCCAAATATGTATTGGCCTGCTCCTGCAGAGCCCGGAAATGTTTTACCTGAGAAAAGACAATCCTCAAATAAACTCTGAGAATGTGGAAATAATCTCTTCTTTAATTACAATCATGTATTTTCATATTTTTACTTTAGCTTAGTATTTCCAAAAGATGAAACACAGACATAGACTATGTTATTAAGTAAGGCTGGTCTGTCATAATTATGGAAAAGGATAACTCAAAAACTTGATTATCATCCAATTATCATAGTCCTTAGCAATGTATGCATTACCTAGCTTATTTCTTTATATATAAAGCATTGGATAGATACAGAGTTTCAGCAAGGTGACTTACTTTCTCAAGGTGAATGGGAAGCAGAGCTTTATCTGATTATTAAAGTATCATGTTCCTATGCCTATAAAATTCTGCAGTGTCTGATAGATCATGGGGAATCCAGCCCCGTGGCACAAGACACTCTCCCACACCTGAAACCATCCCCGTGTCCTTGACATATATGACTGCCAAAATCAGAGAACATGACGTTGTTGAGGGTTCTTGCTCTTGATACTGCCTTTGGGAGCCCATCTCTCCTTATCAAGAGTTTCTTCATCCCAAAAGAAAATTATATTAGTGGTGACAAGCAGGGCAATAACATACCTCCTAGAGTCCCAGGGAGGAGCAGTGAATGACCACCTAGCACAGAGGGCCAGTGTTGGGTCCTTGCAGGCGAAAAGTTGAACGCAACAGCAGTGTATCTTTGTGGCAACCCCAAATCATTGTATAGCAAGAATTCAGAGAGCAACTGTGGGAAGCAATTGTTCTCCTGTATTTACACTTCTCAGGCTGTTCCTGGTGTTTTTGGCTCAATTTCCCTCTCCGCACTTTGATGAGATATTGACAAACTGGTACAAGTCCAGCAAAAGGCTGGGGGGATACGGAGCTTTAGTGTGTGGCTTTTGGCCAGGTCTGAAGGAACTGGCCTTGTTCAGCCTGAAGAAAAGAGACTAATTGTGGTATGCCATTACTTAACATGGTAGGCGTCAGTGGGGGCAGTACTGGGAAGACAGAGCCAAACTCTTTGCTGAGGTGAGCAGAAAAAGGAGTAGAGGGAAAAGTGACAAGTCGCAACAAGGAAATTCTTCCCAGATATGAGGAAAATAATTTTTCACACTAAGAACAGTTAAGTATTGGAACAGGTCTCTAATCCTCAGGGATAATCAATGCCCTTAGTGCACCAAAGGGCTCTGCAACCTCCATCCCCTCTCCTAGGGGTTTGGCTGCCTCTGCTCAAGCCCAGCCCTGTCTCAGCTCAGCTGGGACCTGGCCAATGGAAAAACGTTCAGAAGCCTTCTTCCTTGCTCGAGAACTGAATGTAATCTCAGGCCATCACACACCTATGGTCCTCACCTGAGCTACACTATAGGTGAATCTGTGCCCTGCTGCTCCTCTTGGCATTGCCTTACTGCTCTGACCTCCTGCCTCCACCTGGGTCTAGCCTCATCCTTACACCTCTAGCTCCCCTGTCATCCCTGCTCCTCCTGCCCTTGCATCTGTAGTATTAAATTATGTCTCTATTAAGCCACATGGTGGATGAGACAGCCCTGAACTCCAGTAGTTTTAGTACCATAACAGTTTAATTTGAAAACAGGGTACAAAACAAATGTAAAATACATTAAGTTACTAAGAATAATGAAGAAGCAAAGAAACCATTCTTAATGGATACTGTGGGCTAGAGGCAGTTCTACGCTCTTACATTGAAAAATTATTTTAATTGCCTGCTAATAGACTCTGTATTCACTGTACTATGAAACCAGCTATCATATAGGAACATTAGAAGACAGATAGGCAATTGGACAAGCAAAAAGACACAACCCCTTTGCTAAACACATCTGTGGAGTATGTGAGCAGGTTTATCTAATGAGCCATGTTTTTCCAGGTAACATATTTCTAAGCAACAAGCATAGCTAGCAAAAGCCCTGTAGGATTTTTCACCTCTGGTTATTTTTCACTCAAGGAATTCCTTTTGGAGATGTGAATACTACACAGCCCTCTGAGAAGGTTAGAGAGAGTATCTAATTTCTATTAATGTAAGGCTCTTACCTGAAGTCACCTTATTAAGGATAACTGGGCATTTTCAAGTGCTGAACTTTTACCTGTTTAATTGCATCTGCCAGGCTGAAAGGAGGCCAGGTAGTTGGCTTTAGCTCTGACTGCACTGTGGACAGCCAAGTCTGGCACTGTTGTAGGGTATCCTGATGATTAACATGCTTCTGAAGTTCATGTTCCAAACTTTGGTACACCTAAAATAAACATTTTGTAAGGTCATTGCATTTTCAAACTCCACTACTGGCTCTCTTCTCCCACCTGGAAACTGCAGATAAACCAGTATTATTAAAATTGTATTTATTTTAGCCCTTGTACATTAAAGCACCAAGGACTAAAAGCTCCTGAGGCTCTCACTGCATCTTGCTAATTTGTGGAGAAGATGGACAATATCTAAGGCACAGCTTCTGGAAAGAAAAAAAATAAAGATGCAAATGAAGAGCATTGTCCCTTATTTATGTATTCTTGTTCAACATTTTACTCTTGACCTAGTATGAGATTTCACCTACCTCTACAAATCTTACTTACTATGAAAGCCTACTTTTTGGCATTTTGTTTGATTCTGTTGGGTTGTTTTTAGATTAGGCTGACTTGATCTCCTAATTGGATTAACAGAATGACCCAGCTAACCCTTCTTAACTGTATATTCTGGTTTTACTAAGAGAGACAGTATTTCCTAGCACATAAGCATATAATTAAGACTTGTTATGTATATTTGCAAACTCCTGACATCAGGAGTGCAATTTGCTCCCAGTTTGTTTTTGAAGTAGGAATAGTTCTGATTTCTTTGCTGCAGCTGCTCAGAAGCTAGTCCAACAGGAAGGTAATGAGGGTGTGGACATATTAAGGTAAGAACTGATAGGCAGCTACATTTGCAGTCTGCAAGGCAGCATTTGGATCACAAGGAATTCAGCTGTAGCACACTAAGAATGGAGTGCTACATTAGTACCCTGTAGGCTTAATTTAAATGGAAACAGTAGAAAGAGTTTTACACCATTAAAGAAACAAGGATTTACAGAAATAATAATGTGTATTATTCTTAAATGGCATAAAAACATTTCTGAAACAAGACTTACTCTTTGGGCTGTGCTACATATGGCAGAATAGCTGTCCTTTGTTCCCTGAAGATGACTTTGTATGTTTTGCTTAAATTTTGGTTGAAGATGTTCTTTGCATTGATTGATCAAGTAATCACCTTTACTCTTAAGGTTGTTCAAACGATCTTCAAAGCCTGCAATTTCTTCCATGATAGCCTAACAAATAGATAAAATATTTTTTTAAGAATATTTTAAACTTAAAACATATTTTGCATCACAGATTTTTAAATTACGTTTGTTTTTATTTTTTTTTCCTTAAACACTCATCTTCAGATTCAGAAAAAAGGTTTCAGAAAATGTGTATTGTTATAGTCAAGCTATTGTAGCATATATTCATTGTAAAATCATTGTCAAAAGTCTGTATATAGACATCCCACAGAGACATCAGTAGCACTGTCATAATGCATAAACACATGCTCATGCCCTAAGACTATCCTTAACCTTCCTTTGACGTGGGCTCCACCAACTTCTCTTGTTTAATAATCAAAACTAAATTCCATAAGATCTTCCACTTGTAGACAGTTCTTTCCATTGACTTTGGTGGAGCCAAATTTTTATCTGAAGAGGTTACTTAAAGAAAAAAAGACATTTTAAAGGATATTTTTTGACCCTTAGAAGTGCCAGACAGAGGCATTTGCCTTAGGAGTAAAATAACCCTAATCTGCTTTTTGTTCTACTCCTGGGACATCCTAGCAAAAATCTGATAGAGAATTCAGATCAGTATACAACAAGGCTCTTGTGCAGATTCAGTCTCATTTGAGAAACAGTTCTAACAACAAGGTAGATTTGTTAACCGTGTTAATGGCACTGATGCTTATTTGCACAGCAGTAAGAAGAAAAAAGCAGGCAAATTACAAATAACTAGACCTCTAGCATGGAGACAGAGAAGCAAAGAAGAAAAATTCTGGTTTACCAGACAAAGAAAGTTTACCCAATAGCAAACCCACCTTGTGGTTAGCTAGCTGCTGAGTGATTATTTCAAGACTGTTACTCTCCATTAGGTCAGGGCTGACCAACCTGCTGGACATATGTAATAACCATTTCTCCCCTTCTTGTAAGTCACTATTGTAATCCTCATGTTCTTTTACTCTCACCTCTAAGGTTTCAACGTATGCCTGCAGGTCCACAATAACCAAAAGGAAATATTAAGGTACTTACAAGAATAAAAAACAAAACAAAACAAAATCACCAAGAGCTTGAAAGCATAGTAAGAGAATAATCTTCTCAATTTATATTCCTCAGAGGGACTCACATGTGGCTGACTGTTAAGGAAGACAAAGGGATTCCTTGTGTGAATAAACTTTCTGGTGCTGAGCAGTATTTTAATTCCAGATAAAATACCATACTTTGAAGACTGAAGAAAACACTGAGGATCTCCTTACTTTAAGAAAAGGAACACTATTAACTTCCATTAGTTTTTACATGCTCTTTGAGAGACTGCATATGACCTTTCAAATGTTATAGTTGGGTCCCTGCTGCTTACAGCCTTTGCATGTACACACAGTCTGTGATTATGGTAGACAAATTAAGCAAGTATACATTGAGTTAAAATGTATTTCTTCTTTTTGAGAGAGATTCTTGATAAACATTTCTACATTTAAGTCATCAAATTTACATCTAATGCAACAGATATCCTTTTTTTGGTACAGATCAGAGGAATGACTGTAAATTAAAAATCAGCTGTGAAAAAAAGTAATCTGTTATGGGTGGATGGATTGACAATTAAAAGGTACTTAGGTCAAACATAAGTACTAACACGGTTTGCAGAGCTTATCCTTGTTAGGAGTATAACCTATTAAAAGCTTTAACAAATAATCATACTTTAGGACGTATTTAGAAGTATTAGATCTTCCAAAGTACTACATACATGTGGACTAACGAATCAATGTTAATTAATAACACCCTTTGCTGAATTAAATTATAGCAATCTTGCAGTTCATTTTCTCCAATGACTTCCATTCAACAACTAAACTAGGTTCAACAGGATTTGTGTGAGATCTAGTAGAAGCAAGAGACAAAGTGTTATCATTTAAGGGTACCTGTCCCTTCAAGAAATAATGAACTTAGAAATCTATTCAAAGCAATTAATAGTCACAGCAGTACAAACAAATCACTGATGTATTTACCCTTAGTGCTACAAGACTTCACCTACCACACTCAAAATTTATTTCCACTACTCTTGTTAGGTATATTTAGGTAGAAGTTGCTTCCATATTCAAGAATTCCTTCTCCACCCACCAAAAAAAAAAAAAAGCAGCTATTAAATCGGACTGGTTCTGTGCACCAGGTGTGACACGAGAGCATGAAACAAACAGTCAACCTCACAAAGAAGGGAAAAAACAGTAAATTGAAAGAATCTAGCTTTCTTCCTGACTTTTTACCTTTGTTGTGCTGCAGAGTTCCTGGTAACCGCTCTGAAGGTCTTGAATGTTCTTCTTTAGAGTCTCATCATTCACCAGATCAGAGAGTGCTTCTCCCTTTTCAATCACTGACTTTATTGAAGGCTCATGGGACAGAACAGTCTGTTGTATGGACTGCAAGAATTAAAATGCATCTACTGAACACTGAAGATCTATTTCACTAAGTTCCCTTTGACCTGAAGCCCAGCCTTCTATTATGGTATATATCATCCCTTCCAGATGAGAATAGCTTTGCTGCCACTACAGGATTATGTTTCACAGCCATGCCTCGAGACAACAACTTTGTAGGCATCTAAAAGCAATTACTCCTTCTGTGAGTGACGACAAGCACAGCTAATAATCTGGAGCTGGTGAAGGAGATGGAGTTATTGTGTGTGAAGGGGCAAATGCTAGGAATAAAACTTGTTCAGAGGAACAAACTCTACAAATAGGTGGGGAAGGTATCATGAAAGCCATCCCTTTAATGAGACACTATGCAGACAACTGCATAATGCTGTACTCTCAAAAGTATGCAATCTGATCTGTTATGTCATTGTGTCACTGCCTCAGACAGTAAGGTACATGCCAGCATCTGTCAAATGACAGTGAAATACCAGCTCGCTAAATGTGCAGAAAGCAAGCACACAGCTACAACATATGACTTGGAGTATTGAAGCTGGTAAGGAATAGTGGGCAGTTTCAAAGAGAAAGCCTTGATGCTGTGCAGGCACTGCTCAGCAATAAACAATACACGGTTATTTTAGCAACACTGTTTTAGCCACAAATGTAAAGCACAGCGCTATATGGGCTGTTATGAGGAGAGTCAACTCCATCCTAGCCAGACTCAATGCACATCTTTTGAAACATCTGCAATCCTGAAGTATTTTACAAAAAAATCATTAAGAGAAGCAATTGGGTTTGCTGTAATTTTTTTTTTTTTCTACTCAATTTTATGACTGGAAGAAAAAAACCCCATTTCATTAAGTTCCTAAGTAAGAACAGAGGAGGCCATAGCAGCTGACTGTCTTAGCTGTCAATTGAGCTGGGACATCCAGCTTTGACCAGACAGCTGATTAAGACAGTGTAAACGAAGGCAACGTCTGCAGTGAGGAACAACCGATTTCTACCCTTGCTTAAACAGCTGTTAATTCTTTTGATATCAGTGCAATTGCTCATATGTGTACTCAGAAAAGATTTTTGCTCCGTAACAGGAAATTTTCACTTGTAGAAGCCTATTAGGATATTCATATTTCAAATTTGGGTGCTTACTCTGGTTCATAGATATCATGCAAGTTTTCACTTTGATGCTGATTTGGACATTGAGAGCAGAGACATCTCATATCTATTGAGGAAACCTGAACAGACACCTGGATCAGAGGATTTATTATGTGTAACTAGGTTAAAAATGATTCAATAGTACAATGACAAAACCAGTTTTTACCTTGTATTTGGACAACTGGGCCTTCTTCTCATAGAGTTCGCTCTTTGGCTCTACTGGAACATGTAACATGGCTTGGTACTCCGTGACCCACTGAGTTTGTGCTTTGTACTTGTCTGAGAACTCCTTTGCCAGCTGAAGGCACTTCTCCGAAGTCATATGCTCTTTTCTGATGGAGCCAGCCAGCTCTTCAAGCTGTTCCACATGATCTCCAATTTCTTTTCTTAACTGGTCAACTTCATTCTCTTCCATGTACTTTATAGCTCGCTCCCCCTTCTCACGGGCAGATTTCAGTAAACTGTGGCCTATGTCCATATCACTCAACAGCAGCTGTGAATCAAGTGTTGGTTAACAGAAAATGTATGCAAGTTTTTCCTTTTTTTTTTTTTTTTTTTTTTTTTTTCCCATTTTAGTATCAATGAGAAGCTAATGATTTTTTATTTAAAAACAAAAAAATAATTCTAAGGACACAGAATGAATTTCTAGGGAAAGTGAATGAACTTTTAAAAAATGCCTGGAGTTAAGGTGTGGTAAACTAGAAAGAAGTAGAAAAAGCAACTACTTATTCTACATAAAGCTTGTGAAGATAAGCACAGAAAATAAGGACTATCAGTATATAAAGAGAGGATTTTGCACTCCAAATTCTGGAATAGATGACATTTTTTTTTTTAGTGTACTATGTTTAAGCTGCAGGACATATGAAAGACTCTACAACTCTGAGATGAAATGTGAGTTTTACTACTGAGTTATTTCAATGAGAAATAAGAAGCACTTCTTGCCACAGTGCATGCTGGTATAATATATACATAACAAGATGTCTTGCAAGGGAAATTTATTTTAAGTTTTAACCTAAAACAAAACACATGCAAACATGCCTTATAGAAGGACAGGATTATATTATTTAGGACTTTTCATAACCTCCACAACCAAACTGTGATCTAATGTGTGTATGACATGAGAACAGAAAGTCTTTACCCTATTAGCTTCTCTGAGCAAGCGAAAGTTAGAATTTTGAGCAGTTGTTAAGATGCATGTTAAAATATAGTCTCTTTTGGTGAACAGAAACAATAGTTGCATTCAGGAAAGCTATACCTCTAGTTTCTGTACTTTTTTCTCCATTGCTGTTTTATCAATCACGTCAAACTTGGTGATCATATTTCTGAAGTTCTTGTTAGTAGCTCCATACCAATTCGTGTAAGCACTAAAAGCCAATTCTGACTCCTCCATGCAGCGTATTTCTTCTTCCAGAAACTTTATTTGCTCCTTCAAACAAATATGGAGAGTAGAGGGAGGAAACAAGAACAACTCAAACATTTAGCACTGTTATTGGCTAAAGGTATCAATTGCTATTTATCAATCAAACCGAATATACTAAGATTAAACACATAGGTTTTGAGTTCTTTCAAGTCTAGTGGATAGTTCTCACTAGGGTCTTGTCAGAGTGTACACACAGCAATCACTAATGTTAAAAATGAGTTAATACTAAACACCAAAAAGGTACTTGTATTTTTAAATTTGAATTCTAACTTGTGATTATAGTATTATGAGACACTTTAAATAGTAAGTGACCTGAATATTATATCTTATCAATTAAAATTTTCCCCTTACCTGTGTTTTTCAGTGGTAACCTGAAAACATTTCTCTAGAGGTATTTCAGCATTCAAACATACTGAATTCTGAATTTGTCTCTTGCAACTACCAAAAAAACTCCTCAGTAACAATATCTGATTAACAGTGAATATTTTTGAAAGGGCATTATCCTCATTCTGGTTCTGTAATGCATTTAGTCCAATGAAATTTACATATATGTGTGTATGTATATGAATATATATATGAATGCTATATTTTTGAGTCTACAGTAACGAATAAATTCTCATAAAGTCCAATTAAAAAAGTGTGTTTATATTTGCTCCTTAACTGATGATTTATGCGGTTACAATTAATTCATTTTTATTACTTACCAAGACATGAAGAAGAAGAGTTTGGTAGCGAGATGTAAGCTGCGTAGCCTGGCTTCCCATTCTACTTGTAGTGAGACTTTCCTCTAGTATTTGCTGAGCTAACACCCCAACTTCCTCCACATCATCTTTGTAGACTGTAATTTCTTCATGCCACTTCTATGACAAAGACATTATCCATCTTATATGACTGAGTCAAACATATTAAACACATCCGTAATTTATTTGTAAATAATCAGGAAATCATTGAAAAGGGAAAAAAATACATGGTTGTAAACACAGACTTACAACAGTAAAATAAGCAGATGGTATGATAAAAATTCCAGCATAGACTTCATTTCATTACAATAGATTCAAAACCTTATTTTCCTTCCCCTAAATAATAATAAAAATGCAACCTGAACTTCCAACAGAATTTGTCCAAAGTTTTAAAGTTGACTGTAAAGTATAACCTTGATTCTTTTCAAATCTGCTTCCTGTGTTTGTTGAGAACCATGTCTTCTCCTTGCAGTGACTAAAGGCGAATTATTACATCAACACAGCAGTGATTTCACAACACTACCAACAACAACAGTAAAAGTTGGTCACATTTTAGTTTTATTACCACATTAAACACTTTCCCACTCCAGGACCAACCTTTGTCCTTAGTTATGCCTTCACATACCACAAAGCGTATGAATTCCAGATCTGCCTGCAAGAATTCAACATTGGTGTAGCCATAGCTTTACCAGCAAAATGGGAGGAACCTGGACTCGGAGCGCATGAAGCAACCTTAGATCCATCATTCTAGGCACCACCTTAGAATAAACTGCAATGCTTCCCATCATTTTCACAGTGTAACCAGGAACTAGTGTGGAAAAGTCACATGGTATTTTGTTTAAGGAATGCCTCAACTATTTTCTTTACCTTCATTTGTTGAAGCTGCATCTCCTTTGTTGCTCTACCAGACTGCCTCCCAGTCCTGATTGCAATTTTCTCCTCCAGGTCTGTTAGCCAGCCATTAACCTTCCGAAATTTTTTCTCCATTAACCTCAGCCTGCTCACAGTGGCATTTAATTGGCTTCTTGCTTCAGAAAGCCTGTGCTGATAAACTTGCCAATCCTGCCGTAAGGATTCCAGGGTTCGGTCTTCTACCTGGGGAATGCCCCAGGGAATCACTTCCTCTCTGGCATGGACAGCAGCATTCAGTAATGCTTGTCCTTCTGCACAGTGGACCTGCAGCTCCTGTAAAGGCAGAGTTATGGATACGTACCCTAAATTAACAGCTTTCATTCACACATGGGAAACAAAGCCCTGCTTCTACTTACGACAAGAGCAGTTACCTCACATTATTCAGTTATTCCCTTTAGTTACCAGCGGTTGAACACATATTGCTCTATCTTTAAGAACATCTATGATAGCATGCTGACTTACAAAGCAAAACAAATATTTCTACTGTTGACAATAGAATTGGAGAAAATCATTGACAAAGCATGCATTAAATTCTTTTCCCTCTTGCTGGGTTTATATTAGTTCTGAACCATTAGCTGCCTGAGCTGGCATGGGATGGACACAATCCATTCAGCACAACTGCAAATTTAAAACTTTCCAGATATGGCAAGAAGGCTGTAAGACTGATTCTAAAGTTTAATCTGTTTAGTAACAATTAAAAAGGTGATACTTCAATCTTTTAAAATAAACAAACCAATGTATTTTTACACGTTTGAGACATCATTCCAGAATAATTCTCGATACCTTCTTCTGGACATGTGTGGCATTTTCATGTTTATTAGAACTTGATTAAAAAGTATGAAGGGATCCAATCTGATTAGAAAATATAACCAGGAAATTACCTTAACCAAATACAGTTGTGTGCTGTGTTAGTTTATACTTGAGATATACATTCAGATTTTCAAAATGGATGTATATTTTGTAAACTATACTAACAAGACAAGAGTCCATGATCATACAAAGATCTTCCCAGTATCATGAATAAAGTAATAAATATTTCATAACTCAAGTACAGACCACCTGTTATTTCAACAACAGGTATGAAATTATTTTAGTCAGCTTAAGATCATAACTGGGAAATTACTGAAGTACTATAGATTCACCCTTCACCGTCACTTGAGTGATTCAGTGATAGTCTTCCCACCTCACTATGGAAGCTAGCCTACATGACTGGAACTGCTTGAAAGTAGCTGCATCTGCATTGTAAGCAATAAAACATGAAAACCCAGTGAAAAGAATACTTTGGATATTTTATGAAACACAGAGAAAAGAATAGTTAGGCAAACATCTAAAACAAATTCAGTACTCTCAAGAAGTCATTAGTATGCCTGGTGATTTTATTCAAGGCCTGACACTTCTTTCTGGAATGAGTGACAATGTTTCCACTGACTTTACTCCATCAATTTTGAACAGCAAGTACTTACATATACCGTGTTTCTGAGCTGTTCTGAAGGCAAAGAGATGCAATTTTTGTCTGCTAATTAATATTATTCTATTATTTTACAGGTAGGATTTTTTTTTTTTTAAAATAAGTATTGATTTTTTTTTACTTAAAGTGTCATATGTTAAATACCTGTAAGTCTCGGAGTGTAGCCTCCTGTTTCTGGGCATCACCATTTAGATGTGATAAACAGTCAAGATTTTCCTGTTGCTTCTCCAGCCATACTTCAAAGGCCTTCAGATTCCTTTGGTACTCTTGATGTAAGTTAAGCAGTCCCTCAGCTTTTGTTACTGCCTCCTGTTTGTTAAAATATTTACATATATGTACACACATCTTAGTGTATCATCAAAACAAGAAAACAAAAAACCACAGACTTCCAACAAGGTGAAAAGTTTGTATCTGATGCTGAGCTTTCCTAGAATCCAAGAGTACTTTGATTCTAAGGATGGTTTAATCAGTAACAGGGAGAGAGGGGGAAAATGTGATGATACAGATACTTATCCTAAAAGATTTTTTCTGTAACTTTGTGACTTCTGGGATTTGATGTTTTGATCAAGGATCTCTAGATATATAACACCCTACCGTCTAATAATGAAAGACACTAATAAAAGCATGAGCTTAGAAATTGCATATTTTTTTTATTATGGAATAATAATCCTGTATTAAGAGTGCTAACATTTTTAGGTTTGAGAACTGCACAAGTCTTTTGTAGGCAGTTCCTACAGAGCACAGTGAGAAACAGGCTGCAAATCTTCTGTATATGTGGGTGAGCAAGTCACAATAATTACCAAGCACTAAAAGATGTACCTCTGGGGTACAGCATAGAAGGTGTCACATATTAGGACAAGACTAGGCTTTCCAAGTGCCAGAAAAGTATACTACATGTAATTCACATCCTCTAAGAAAAGATGTGAATGGGGAATCAAGTTTGAATGAAGACTAGATGGGCTGCATCCCAGGGCAGCAGGCTCCATAAGAAAAACACTTCAATAAACAGCAGCTATGAACCTACTGTCTGCTTTACCTATTTCTAACAGGTCTGGGTAGTGGGAGGAAAGAAGAGAAGAGGAATGTTACCAATCTTTTACAAGGACTGTCCACATCCAGTAGTGGAAAGAAAGGCTAGTTCTCTTGCCTCTTGATAGTGCTGGGCATTACAGCTGACAGCTGCGGGGAATTACAGGTCTTGGCCTGCTCAGGCTTGGACCACAAACCCTTGGGGAAGTTTGTCAGGTTTCCCACCTAGCCAAAGGATTATTAAAGGCTTTGACCATTCCTTATTTTTCAGCTATTTGCTCTGAACTTTGAATTTCTTTCTAAGGGTTGAATGTATTCTTGACACTTATCATCACCACTGTTGGCAGTGGGAAAAACTAAAATCATCTTGGGTATCAGATGGGATGGAAAAGAAATTCTTGCTACATGAGGAAAGAGGTACAGAGCTCTTACCTTTGTGAACTGCCATCCATTCTTTATTGTTCCCACCCTGTTGCTCAAGCTGAGCAAATACAGGCAGTCTGTATAGCTTTGTGCAATGAAACCAAACTTTGACCATACATTAGGCACTATTTAATTACCACAGAAGAATTTGGGTTAACTGGAGATAATCACCTAGCTTTAAATGTATCACCAGAACTTTTATTATTTCTTATTTTTCTTATATCTTATGTTAAAACCCATCTTGATCTTTAACCGTCTATGCCCTAATCTCTTCCAGGTTTACAATGTTAACATCAGGAAATGTAGTATTTATCATGCTGGGTCTTTTGTCATTAGAGCCAGTTTACTTCCCAGTAAGGTTTATGTTCAATAGTAAACTTCTGTAGTTGTCCACCATCTGCAAATTATCCAACTGACTGTTTGCATTTATTGCAAAACATACATTTATGTAAATCACAGATTAAGATGTGCTCCCAACTTTTCGGTTGCAATGGTTAAAAAAATACCTGTGCTGAAGTCAATGAGGCTACTGGCACAGAATTCTTCAAACTGTTCCCATGATGATTTTTTTCAGATTCAGAATTTTAGAACCTTTCTGAAAATATCTGAAGCTCAGTGGTACAAGTAGACAGACTGAGAAATCACTCTAATAACTTTGTTACGTTGCTACAGCTGTCCCTAAACTTTTATTCTTCATTTAACTGTAAATGAAATTAGCAATGTGAAGACTTTCTCTTTTTCCTTGTTACCAACAAGAGGGCATGCTATCAAGAAAATCTGTACTTAAAACTGTACCTTTGTTCTGTCTTTGAGCAGCTTATACCGCTCCTGAAGGTCCTGAAGTTCAAGCTGAGTGACATAATGCTCAGCCATCCCACTTCCTTTCACCTCAATTGTCTCCAGCAGCCTGCTGTGACTCAACACCTCTTCACTGAGTAGCTACAAAACAGACAGAAGAACACTTATGAATGAACAGCATTAAAACAAGATTATAGACTAACCTTGCAGTTATTCAGCCTTTTTATAAAGCCCTTTTCTGGGCTTGTTCCTGGTTTGTTGTGAAGAAAACACACCTTTGCTTTGCTGAGGGCAGCCGTTTTTTCCCTCAGTTCAGCATACTGTCTTTCAGAAGCATTCATACTTGCTTCTACTTTATCCATCCAGCTCGAAAACTGACGAACATCTTCCTGGTAACTTGTCCATTTGGAAAGAGCTCCTTCCAGTTGACTGTAATTAAAAAATACATATTTGTTGTGATAGTGGAGGTTCTCATGATATATAAGCAGTGAGATACAGCAATAGAGAGTTACTCTAGACTATATTTATTAAAAATATATCATAAACTAAGCAGTCCAAGACAAAGCTGTTAAAACACTATAGTTTTAATGAGAAGCATTTTTTGGCCGATAAAGAAAAATTTTTACAAACCTGGAATATTAAGAAGGTCTGTACATTATGTGGCGAATTGACATGTTCTAACCTTAGTAAATAAAATGCAGCTAGAAGTGTAAGATCCAGAATCAGAAAGTTTCTATCCCTCTGCATACATTCAAAATTTGCTGCATTCTAATGTTTAATTACCTTTCTTGTTGTAAGTTGAAATAGTTGCAGCCAGTAATACTCCACCAAAGAAGGCTGAATTTTTTCCTCCCTGTATTCTACCACTTCTATTCTATTCCCCCTTTATTCTATCACTTTGACCATCACTATTTGACTCTGTAATTACAGTATCATCTGTCAAATGCTAGCAAGTAGAAAACCACACAGGATCTTGACAGAGACAACTATTAATGTCTGTGACAAGATCTTCTTATCTCTGAGAACAATTCAAGGTATCAAGTACAGCTTGAAGTAAAATTTACAAGACTATGAACACTGAAACCACTTCTAAGAGTATATTGACACTAAGTATTAACAAAGCTTAGATCCCTTACAGTTTCCTCCCCATTTTCAAATTAATATGTCAGTTGAGGCCTCTAGATCTGCAACGTAAGGCACATGAAGTCATTTTATAAGAATTTTTATCTTGTAATAATAAAATTCTGAGAATTAACTTTTCAAAAATTCACAGAATCACAGAATCACTACAGTGACCTCTAATATCATGGAGTCCAGCCATTATCTTACTCTGCCAGGCCACTTCTACACCATATCCCTCAGCACCCTAAACTAGACAGTTTTTAAATGCTTCCAGGGATAGTGATTCAACCACTTCCCTGGGAAACCTGTTCCAGCCCTTGATAATGCTTTTGGTTTTATTTAGAAGTGTTATTTAATGTCTAATGTAAAACTCCCCTGGTCTAACTTAACACCATTGCTTCTTGTCCTGTCAGTTGTGGCATGTAAGAAGAAACCCAAACCTGCCTCCCTACAACCTCCTTTCAGGTAGCTGTAGAGAGCAATAAGGTCACCATTCCTCAGCCTCCTCTTCTTCAGGCTAAACAACCCCAGTTCCTTCAGCAGCTCCTCATAAGGCTGATCCTCAAGACCCTTCACTGGCTTTGCTGCTCTTCTTTGCACACTCTCTAGAACCTCATTGTCCTTCTTGTACTGTGTTGCCCAAAACTGAACACAGTACTCAAGGTGCGGTCTCACCAGTGCTAAGTACAGGGGGGTGATCACTTCTCTACTACTGCTGACTATTCCTAATACAAGCCAGGATGCCATTGGCCTTTTTGGCCACCAGGGCACACTGCTGGCTCATGTTCAGTCGGCTGTCATTCAACACTCCTAGGTCCCTTTCTGCAGAGCAACATTCCAGCCCCTCCTCTCCAAGTTGATAGCTTTGCATGGGGTTACTGTGACGCAAGTGCAGGACTCGGCACTTTTATCATTGATGAAGATGTTAAAGAGAAGCAGCCCCAGGACTGAGCCCTGGGGAACACCAATTGTGACTGGTCAACAACCAGATTTAACTCCTTTCACCTCCACTCTCTGAGCCTGGCCATCCAGCCAGTGCATGACCCAGCAGAGTGTGCACCCAGCCAGGCCCAGGGCAGCCAGTGCTGTGATGAGAATGCTGTGGGGCACAGTATCAAAGGCTTTACAACATCCACAGCATTTCCTTCATCCACCAAGCTGGTCACCTTGTCATAAAAGGAGATAAGGTTTGTTAAGCAGGACCTGTCCTTCATGAACCCATGCTGACCGGGCCTGATGGCCTGGTTACACTGTAAGTGTTGTGTTATGGCACTCTAAGATGATCTGCTCCATGACTTTTCCTGGCATTGAGGTCAGACTGACAGGTCTGTAGTTCCAGGGATCCATCTTCCTGCCCTTCTTGTAAAGGGGCGTCATATTAGCCAGTCTCCAGTCCATTGGGATCTCCCCAGTTAGCCAGGACTTCTGGTAAATCATTGAATCATAGAATCATAGAATCCTTTAGGTTGGAAGGGACCTCCAAGATCATCAAGTCCAACCATTGAGCCATTAGGGCTCTAAAGTCCTCTGCTAAAACAGATCAGAATCTGTCAGGGTTGGAAGGGACCACAAGGATCACCCAGTTCCAACCCCTCTGCCATGAGCAGGGACACCTCCCACTAGATCAGGCTGCCCAGAGCCTCATCCAGCCTGGCCTTAAAGACCCCCAGGGATGGGGCCTCAACCACCTCCCTGGGCAACCCATTCCAGGGTCCCACCACTCTCATGGCTTAGTGAGCTCATCAGCTAACTCCTTTGGCACAATTGCAATAGTGCTTTATTGCTATGCAACATTCTGCACCTCATACCCTTTTTACCTCTTGCACTGGATACAAGCAGACAGAAGAGAAGCCCAACTGTCCTTCAGGGTTTGCAACTGTTGTTCAATCACTGGTACTCCCTCCAGAGAAGTATTTTGCAGAACAGATTCTCCTCTTGACAGAACCATTTTCATTTGGATTTCTTTTTCTTGTTTCACTGCTAGCAGTCCCTAAAAAAAGTGAGTGGACATTATTTTACTTTTACCATTAACTACGCATGAATACACTAACAGGATTTACTAGAAAAATGAGCTAATAATTTTAACAGCATGTACAGTCAATGGGAAGAGGGACAGTGTGGTTCACAGCTGAGCTTCACAAAGAAAAAAGAACTTTCAAAGGGTAGGTTTAGGCAATTAAAAAAAAAAATCTTAGTTGACATGGAAGTTTTCATGGAATCTGTGCATTTACAGAGTATCAGAGAAGGTACTATTTTGTGGAAAAGCTGATATTCTAAAGGGAAAGTAATTTAGATGGAAAACAGGAGGATTCATTCACAGAGAAAGCAAGATGTGACAAAAAAACCCTTTTACAAGGCTGAAATATATTCTACAACTCCACGATATATTTGCAACATAAAGGTACCAAAACATGAACTCAGACTATCAGCATCATCATCTTAGAGACTTCAGCTCCTGGAGCTGCACAGCTGCAAACTAACAGCTTCTAACACTATACAAAGTCATGAAAAGCCTGAAAGCGTGAACCCAAAAGACTCTAAGAACAAAAGGCAAAACATAATTTTACACATTTGCTACAATCTCTTTCTTTCTGATGTATCCTTATAGTTTTATGGACTTGTTCATATTTGGGCCAAGACATCAATAATATGAAAAGTATTGTTTTCCAAGTACTGCTCTTCAATATCTTTTGTGCAGTGATACTAATGGATGCTATTTTCTTAACTTTAGTCACTACTTCTAAAGCAAACAATTATAGGAAAAACTATTCTGAATCATTCATATCCACTGTAAGATCTAAGCAACAATATGTTAAACTAACAAGTGAATATCTCCTTCTTCCATTTAATTTTCAACAACTACACAACACCTTTTGAGTTTAAGAATTTGTAGATATGCAGTTGTCTATACCATAAAAGTTCCTATATCCTTCATAGAGAAAACTTCTAATAATGAGCTCTTTCCTCTACAAAAAGAGTTCTATTTGAGTAAAGGGAAAGTCAGTCTCTGAACAATAGCATTCATTACACTAATATGCAACGACTAATGCAAAGTATCCTACATTTACATTCTTCTTAAAGATCTGAAAAGAGCAGTTTTTGGAGACTGTTATTTCCATACCTCCAACTTTAACATCCGGCTGTCCAGAACACTCTTGTCTGCAGTGGGATGACAGTAAGAATCCAGCATGTGAACTGCATCAGCCACCCAGTCCTGAAGGTCCTTGACACTGTGTGAAAACTGCTGGTGCTCTGCTACAACCCTATCCATTCTGGAAACTTTCTCCTGCAATTCATATAGCAATTAGCACCAGCTTATTCCCCATACCCACTTAACAGATTTTTAAATGAGAATAAACTATAATCAGAAATTCTACTAATATGTTGGTAAAGTACACTCACTTGAGCATGGAATGAATTTTGCGTACACATACACACAAACAAGATGTCCAAACACAACAGACAAACAAAAATTTCAATTTTTTTTTAAATTTTTTTTTTTACTTGTTTTCTAAATGCAAAGCTTCATCTGATTGTCTCCAAAGTAGAAGAGAGTTATCCGGTTTTACTTTGCCTAATTATCTGGTAAATCACACCTAAAGCCCATTTCAGTGCTGCAATTGAAGATAACTTGAAAAATCTGTCAATGCACAAGACAGATTTTAATGCCTCTGCAGCAACACTTCTTTCTTGATATTTGGAATAGAAAGACCTGGTTTCCTCAATGATTCCCATTGCTGTAATAATTCTTTTGAAAAATCACTAACAGCCATATGAATCAAAAAGAGGTGCTCTATTTAAACTGCTATTTTGAAGCCTGAGGTGAACATGAATATAGAGCAGAGTGTATCTCACACAGTGATGGAGAACTAAAATCAAGTTAGTGAAACAGGCTTCGGAAGTTACTGAGAGGGATCTTTCTCAAGCATTCATGGCTATCCAAAGAATTTCAAGATTTCTCTCCTAAACTGGATCATATTTATGCTCTGCCTGAGACTCCTTCTCATCCTGACATCTCCTACATGTTCTGTCTACAAAAGCCAATGTTAATAACTCATGCATCTTGCCTTTTCTCATTTTGCAGTCAGGAAAACTTATATACAATTGTTTTAATTAAGTCATATAGCTATAGATCTACATTATAATTTTTATTTTCATAGAAATAGTAGAAATTAACAAACTAGAAACAACCTGAACATAAATACTTTTTGAATTTAATTGTTATTCCAGAATACACTTCCCATATTCTTAATTATTCTCATTACTTCAGTAAGTATAAACCTAATTCAATATCAAGCCTCCTCCATGAATAGAACTCTATGAAAGGAAAACAAAACTCAGTTTTTAAAGATATGCCTTTCAGGTGCTACTTATTACAAAACTAAAATGTCTTCAATACTTGAAATAAAAATTAAATCTAATAATTGTATAATAAGGTAAGGTTTACTTTTTCATCAATAACATTTAAAAAAAAAAATAAATACACAATTCCACTTTGTTGACAGCCCACAGAATTGTCCAGATCCTTCCTTCCCACTCTTTAAAGCCAGTGTGAGAGACAAAATAGCTTAGACATACCACAAAGCAGACAAGCATGACAATTGCAGTGTTTCACATTTCAGTCTTTTCCCCCACATACATCAAATGAACTCCTGAAAAGCAAATACACTGGGTGCATTACCTTTGTCAGATTGCTTAGAGTAAGATATTGAGAAGACAACTGAGACACTCTGCGCATAAAGCTTTTGCTGACAGCTTGCTCTTCCCACAGCTGCTGAGCTTTCTCTTTTAGCCTGTTGAGCTGATGCTCGTGGCAGCTTATTTCCTCAAGGACAGACTGTAAAGCACAAGCACGTTAATATTAAGAGTGGGTGCAAGAAAGCAGGAAATAGAGAAGCATGAAGGCCCCATGGAAAACAGAGGTGACACATGACAAGCTTGCTGAGAAAGGCACACCATACGGGTACAGCAATGAAGCAGTATGCCACAAGAAACATGGAGAAGCAAAACCTGATGGAACAGCAACATCAACAGCAATACTTTAAACCAGCTCTCATCTTATTCAGAGGTCAAGCTTTTGTAAGGAATCCATGAGGCCAGGAGGATGGGACAGGAAAGACTGACTGTGTTTAAAAGACGTATATGAAGTTACCTGCAACTTCTGCTGTTCTCTCCTCTTGGAAGGAAGATCATGGAGCCGACTGCTGCTTCCTTGTACCATCTTCTCAGTTGTGGTCAGCCACTCTTGCAGAGGCTCAGCAGTTGCTTCAAAGTCCTTCATCTGGACCTTTAAGTTCTGGAGAGACATGCACAATTCTATCAACAGTCTGACTGCACTGGACATAACTAATGCACAACGCACCAAAAGGATTTACAATTGCAGTTAAAAACTGCACAACACTCCAAATAAGTTACATCAGCTCTGCTCCTTCCCAATCCCCACAAACAGACATTGATGGAAAAGTCTGGGAGAGCATCTCTTTAAAACGCTAAACAGAGGCAACAACATAAGATATGTCTACACAGTTGAGGGGAGACTGAAGCAAATTTCCTCTGAACTGAAATCTTTACAGATCTTACAAGCTTTGACTCAATCTAAGTCTAACTTGCACAGCTAAAGCAGTTTGAAGAAAGGCTAATTCCCAAATTAGCCTTTAGGTAACTCCTATCCCATAGGAGTTACCTAATGCCTGACCATAGTTATTCACACTGACCCCTCCTTAAAGGGCATGCCACTGTTCCTAGATGATGTAGGTCTAGGTTCAGCCCAATGCTGGGGCTCGTTTCTGATTATATTCTTTTTAAGTGTAAAATTTTGATTATAAAACATGTGCACAAAGGCATATGTAGGCATTCCTTCAGTGCCTGTGTATTTTTCTTGTATGCTTATTCTGCATGATTAATGAAAAGAGCATCTGAAATAACTCACATGGAACAGAAACTCAAACAAAACAGTTCCTGTGCCCTAGCTATTTTTTCTCTTCCCCCTCACCCCCCACCCCAAGACTGGTTTAGCTTTCTTTTAACTATAGCTTTATCACTTAAATTAAACGTGAGAATGAAAACTAAGCCTATGAGACTGAAAAATGCTTGGCTCAAAAAGATCTGCCTCTAAGAACATACTCTTTCCATGGCAACTCTCTGATGAAGAAAGGTAAGTCCTCACTACCTAAAAATTTTCTTTGAAAGGCTTTCCTACATGAGGTGTTAAATATATTTAAACTTCTTCTCAGATGGCCAGGCGACGCTGGTTTGAAACAGGAATGC